GTGATTAAATGCTCTCGTTATAGTTCTGGTTTTCATTTGCGTCAATTTGCAGGTAGAGGATCTTTCAGCTCCGATACAGCGCGTCAAAGCTTGCATCAAAATACGAATGAATTCCGTTGTGGAAGTCAAGACGGAGATAGAAGATATGGATGTCGAGCCAGTCACCGGGTTCCAAGTCTGTTTGGGGACTAATTTCAACCACAAAAGTAAGATCACTTTAACGCATTTGTGGCTTTATAGAATCATTCGTCCTCGGTACGTGACAGCATTGGAGGAATTGACAAAAAAAGAATTCTGGAGGACAGGAATGACGAAGAGGAACTGTTCGATAATGTTAGTTGACCCTGTTTTTGCTAATCCTTATCTGGTCAGTGGTCACTTTTTGGCTCACAACTTCTTGGTTGTTCTGATTACTAGTAGACACAGTATGGTGGAATTTCCTACAACAAAGATCATATAGCCACTCTCAAACATTGCGGAATTGTACTTTTACCTTTCTAATCATTTCGCTCCGAATTTACCCGAAAATGGAAGGATGCCAAGTTTTTAGGAAAATAAGGATACTGTTGTCTATCCAGCCTTGACAATAAGGAGTGCTATGGGGTCACGTTATCGCCGTATGAGAGAGGTCACTCAATTCTCTGTTATTTTTTGATTAAGTCTATATCTTCAATGAGCAGTTAAATAAATTATTATCGGGCAAACGTGAACATCAAAACAAACTTTTAACGAGATCTTTCTTCACACATTCAGGTACGCGCTGCACCCCGCTGTCGTAACAGAAGAGGTAGAAGAAGGAAAGTAAACCATAGGGGTAATCAAAGAAACCTCAAACTTGTCAAGTTGCATGGTGACTCTGATCAGACTGCTGTCCAAACGAGCGAGGTTAGATTATGTATAAGCATTATATATGTTTTGTATGCTGTGATAGTATTTGTATCGCAAAAATATGTCTTCTCTGCAGATCAAGTGAAATTCTTTCAGGAAATGTATACTTTCACTTCGTCAGGTCGCATCATCCATGCCCCCAGGCGATACCCAAACTAGCAGAGCTTCGGGAACAAAGCGATACATTACTTGTATAGGTTTTTGTTATTTATGTTTGGTTTTCCTGTAAATTTGCCTTCTGTCGTATAGATTATTTTGATGCGGTCAATCTAAGTCAGTGGTTGTCAATCTGTTGAGTTTCTTTGTTTGTTTTCTTGTTTTCGTAATTTATTTTATACACTCCGTTGGATCTTGCTTCTATTTTTCTTTTGTGGTCCCAATTGTGATAGCGCTATCGTTCAGTCTCCTTTCATTTTAGGTGATGGATTGAACAAATTATGATGGTGCAGTTATGTGAATTTATCTTTTACTTCACCTCTTTGGTTTCAGTTGTTTCTGATGTTGGTCAGCATTTTCGGTGTCTTTCAGTCATAGGAATCTAG